CAACACTTACAGTTAATACGGAGGATACACATTAGTGTGTTTTAAACATTTAGAGGTAACACGGAGGATACACATGAGTGTGTGTTGCCTTTAATGTGTTGACAGTTTAGATATCTGGCCGTGTTTATCTGTACTTATATCTTACGAAATGTATATAATACGTTGATTTATTTCTGGTAACGAAAATGTTTTCACAATATCTCCTTTTTCTGCTAAGTGTAATCTAGTGATCACATTTAATGTACGGGGAAGATATGAAGACATTTGTGGGGTGACATGGGGGGTGGACAGATTCGGAGGACCCTAAGGGTGCAAGCCAGGTTTAGTGGCAATCGGTCCGGCGGTTCGCCAGTTATAAGCGGACACACATAATTTTTTTGCAAAATAATCGATTCTCCGAATCAGAAAATGTCTTTTGTTTTGTAATTTGTATAATGAAAGACACATCGAGCTATCTGCTGTGTCCACAGAGTGGAATCAACCCCCTGATTTTAGCGTAGTAAATCCGTAGACTTACCATCGTCCCAGTTGGGAACTCGTCGAAAGAAATAACAATATAATTAAGGTTCCCTTCGATCGGATACTAAACCTCAGCCCGGCATGGCCAGGTAATTTGGGCGCTTGATTCGCAATCTGAGGGTCGCGGGTTCGAATCTCCGTCCCACTAAAAATGCTCTATCTTTCAGCCGTAGGGGCGCTATAAGGTGGCAGTCAGTCGCATTATTCGTTGGTAAAAGAGTAGCCCAAGAGTTGGCGGCGGGTGGTGATGACTAGCTGCCTTCCCTCTAGTCTTTCACTGCTAAATTAGGGACGGCTAGCCCAGATAGCCCTCGTGTAGTTTGCGAGAAATTCATTGTCAACAGAATTTACGGTATTGTAGACGATAATGGATCTGTTGTGGAATGCAATGGATCTGTTGTAGACTGCAATGGATCTACTGTAGACAGTAATGGATCTACTGCAGACAATAATAGATCTACTGTAGACTGTAATGGATCTACTGTAGACAGTAATGGATCTATTGTAGACAGTAATGAATCTATTGTACATGGTAATGGATCTATTGTAGACTGTAATGAATCTATTGAAAACGATAATAGATCTACTGTAGACTGTAATGGATCTACTGCAGACGATAATAGATCTACTGTAGACTGTAATGGATCTATTGTAGACAGTAATGAATCTACTGCAGACGATAATAGATCTATTGTAGACAGTAATGAATCTATTGCAGACGATAATAGATCTATTGTAGACAGTAATGAATCTACTGCAGACGATAATAGATCTACTGTAGACTGTAATGGATCTGTTATAGACAGTAATGAATCTACTGCAGACGATAATAGATCTATTGTAGACTGGAATGGGTCGAAGATTTTTAGAACCAAGAAGTACTTTGACTGTCATTAAACTAACTATATTTCCTACTTGTGATTTAATATGTATATTGGTCAAACAGAATATTTTATACCTAGAAATAATTTACATAAAGTAAAGGTCAATGACATTTTTTGATAATAGTCCACTCTACTGTTCTAGGAACTTTTATAATTGTCGTATAAGGTTTAGGGGTTTGGTTTGTTATGTCCGTACAGTACGGCAGTGATATTAAACTGTCTTGAAATATTTCACTTCAAAAAGAAGCAGTACGTTGAAATGATATACCAACAAAAAATACGGCTCGAATGACATACAAAAAAAATATACGGCTCAAATGATATACCAACAAAAATACGGCTCGAATGACATACCTACAAAAAATACGGCTCTAAATTCGTTACAATAAACAACCTCAAAGGATTGTAATACATGAAACAAAAATGATAGTCCAGAAACTTGAGTCTACAACAACAAAATAGCAGTCAACGTAACGTGCCTAACACGACGTCACTAACATTGCAGCCACGTTTTGAGTGGACAAACGATTCATATTTGGATAACACTCCTCGTATTTTGAGAATTAAATTAAATTTCAGATTTCAACGTAAAAGATTAATGTGTTAAAGATTTATTTTTGAAATGTCTTTCAAAAGGTTTACTGTATACAGCCATGAAATTGGTTTGATGCCAATGGGGTGTTACGATTACACCCTTTATGGAACTGCCAAACCCATAATGGTTTGACTTGTGATGATGACCCACACTAACCCATAAGGGTTTGACTTGCGATGATGACCCACACTAACCCATAATGGTTTAACTTGTGATGATGACCCACACTAACCCATAATGGTTTGGACTTGCGATGATGACCCACACTAACCCATAATGGTTTAACTTGTGATGGTGACCCACACTAACCCATAATGGTTTAACTTGTGATGATGACCCACACTAACCCATAATGGTTTAACTTGTGATGATGACCCACACTAACCCATAATGGTTTAACTTGCGATGATGACCCACACTAACCCATAATGGTTTAACTTGTGATGATGACCCACACTAACCCATAATGGTTTA